ATATTATGAGGACTTGTAGAAAATGCTGTACACTTCAGAGCGCGCCCCGCCCATTCTGGGCGGGCCTCCGCCCACGTCATGTATGCAGGAAACACCTTAGACATTGCTCCCTTACACCAAATTGTTTTCTGCTCTGTAGGCTTTCTCCCAACCGAGTTATGAAATTTTTCATAAAGCACTGCTTTTTTGGAGAACGCCCCGCCCACCGGGGTGGGTCTCCCTAATTCGATGTGACTTACCAATGCACACCTTAACCCACTTTTTGGCCCAGTTTCGAGGTCGTTTTGTCACTGAAATCGAAATCTTGGTCTTCGGTACAATTCATTTCGACGCACGCCACGCCCTCTGTGGGCGGGGCTCCGCTTAGCTGATGTGTGTTTTGTATTACGTGAGACCCTGCCCACCCATCCCACACTTGACCCGGTCCCTCCAGGTGGATCCCGAGGAGCTAGGGAATTTCGTGACAGACATACAGAACGACACACGACACACGACACACGACACACGACACACGAACACACGAAACACGACCCATCGACACAAACACACGACACACGACACCCGAAGTTACCCCAAGAACATACTAACACCACGACAGACGAAGACGGCCTTTATAGTAAGTAGGATCTTTTTTATGGTTCTGCCTTGGCATAGAGACGTATAAAAATGTTCGTTGAGCATTCCCGTGTGCAAGGCTTGTAAAATTGAGTAGCAAAGCTGACCTGCCACCGCAATTGTGGACTATGTTTGGCTTGAGAGGTTACGAAGTTTGTTGAGGTTATTCGAAAACTCTTAGAATAACTGGAAACGGAATGGATCGCTCCATGTACAGGATGCAGTAGTCGGTTTTGTCGAAGCATGGCGTGTTCGTTAGCATTCTGAAGTTAATTTGGCGCATTGTGCGGACGTTAGCCTCCAAGTCAGACGACTGATCTTTCGATTACCTTGCAGTATGCGAAACGGTCTACCTGAATGAGGGTGATCCGGATTCCAGCGTCCTGTGCTGCTTTCAGAACTGTGGAGTCCAAATCAAATTTGCCCGTGCCGTGATGTACGTAGTGGAACTCTCCTACAGTAGTTATACCTGTCTTCCAGCATCTCGCGAAATGTGGTGTAACAGTACTGAAATAAATTTTAGCAGTGCGCGTCTACATATGTGCCATTGATATTTGTTGATCCCTATGGCAGCATCGTCCACGAATCTTTTCTTTTGTCGTCAACTTTCACTTTGGCGGCATAGTGCCAAAAATGCATGTTTTTAGTGACGACTGCCGAGAAAGCTCACTGGATTTGCAAGCTTTTCGCGAAAACAAAACAAAACCTCGTAGAGTTTCTCTGTTGTGATGCCGTCCACGAGCGCGTACATGTTGTCTCGCCATTTCCAGAAGGTGTCCGCCGCTTTGCCACCGATTCCACTTTTTCCCCGGAGATGGCGGTGGAATGCATGAGAATGGGCGTTCACGAATCCTGGCAGCACAATCTGAAAACTAGAGAATTTGTCGCTCTCACTCAAGAGCGATTGTCTTATCAACCCCAGACTACCCGACTAACTGAACAGGGGCACAACCGCTGCTCTTCAATCCCCCTATTCAGACTACGCTGGAACCAGCGCATTTAGGAGGTTCGCTGACTCTGGCATTTTCATTTGCTGAGCAATTAAGCTTAAACGCGCTTCCTAACGTGGTTTCGTGTAGTGGCAGCCTCTCTGAGCGGACAGGCGCGCAATCAGAGAGCCAAATGAAATCGCAGATCAAAAAAAATTTACTATGAGGTACGCAGAAACCGGAGACCGAGTAAAACATCCGAAGTATTTTTTTCTTGGAGGAGTTCCAAGATTCGTAGTTAGAAGTCTACTGGCCTTCGATTTATTATATTACCAGTTTGGCTGCGCACGCATTCGCGTGCATGAGACGGGGCTGCAGCGGTAAAATCGGGCCCATCAGTATTTTTGTCTTGATTTTAGCTTTCTGCTCGGTACATCTTACTTACGCCGCAAACTCCGCCCACATCCGGGTGTGCCACGCCCAGCGTTCACATTCAACCTCTACTCCTACTTTCACCTCAGGCATATTTTTTTTCAGGTCTCTAAGTCATCTCGGAGCCGAATTATGAGGTCTTGTAAATGGCGTTATGAGTCACGAATTTCTGAGGCAGACCCCGCCCACTTTGGTGCATGGTTAGCCCAACAATGGCATTCAACCCTACTCCATACCTCAATACTTATGCACATTTTCCCCGGTCGCCGGAACTTCTAGGAACCGAGTTATGAGAGCGGTGGCAAACTCCGCCCACATCCGGGTGTGCCACGCCCAGCGTTCACATTCAACCTCTACTCCTACTTTCACCTCTCAGGCATATTTTTTTCAGGTCTCTAAGTCATCTCGGAGCCGAATTATGAGGTCTTGTAAATGGCGTTATGAGTCACGAATTTCTGAGGCAGACCCCGCCCACTTTGGTGCATGGTTAGCCCAACAATGGCATTCAACCCTACTCCATACCTCAATACTTATGCACATTTTCCCCGGTCGCCGGAACTTCTAGGAACCGAGTTATGAGAGCGGTGGCAAACTCCGCCCACATCCGGGTGTGCCACGCCCAGCGTTCACATTCAACCTCTACTCCTACTTTCACCTCAGGCGTATATTTTTTTCAGGTCTCTAAGTCATCTCGGAGCCGAATTATGAGGTCTTGTAGGGGACGAAATCGAGCTACGTATCTTTGTGGCAAACCCCGCCCACTTTGGTGCGTGGGTCGCCCACTGATATCAGTCGGCTATCATCTCTTCCCCAACCTTTTTCTACTTTTCTCCCATCTCTGGAACTTATTGGAACCGAGTTATGAAGTACCGTGGCAAACCCCGCCCACTTTGGTGCATGCTCCGCCCGCCAACAACGGTTGACCCCTTTCCCTCTGCCAACCCTCATACGCTTTTTTCCCGGACTCCGGGACTCCTAGGAACCGAGTTATAAGCCTAATTGCAAACTCCGCCCACTTTGATGTAAGCCACGCCCATCCCTGACATTTAGCTTCCCCTCCCCTCCTGACCTCTATCCGTTGTTTTCCGGTCTCTAAGTCATCTCGGAGCCGATTTATGAGCTCTTGTAGAAAATGCTGTCCGCTTCACGACACGCTCCGCCCATTGTGGGCGGGCCTCCGTTCACATCATGCGTGGTGGAAATACCTTAGGCATTGCTCCCCTGCACTAATTTCGTTTCTGGTCTGTAGGCTTCCTCTTAACCGAGTTATGAATATTTTCACTGAGCACCCATTTTCTAGAGAACGCCCCGCCCACCGAGGGTGGGTCTCCTCAGTTCGATCTGGCTTACCAACCCACACCTATGCCCACTTTTGTCCCGGTCTCGAGGCTGTTTTGTGACTGAATTTGAAATCAACCGATGCACGCCACGCCCACTGTGGGCGGGGCTCCGCTTGGCTGATGTGTGTTTTTTACTTCTAGGGATATGGTATACCCATCCCAAACTTGACCTGGACCCTGTAGGTTGTTGTTCGCTTGATACCGAATTTCGTGACAGACGGACAGACAGACATAGCGCATTATATATAGTAGGGATATTGTAATGCAACTCATTTTGTGGCCAGCTAAACAAAACATGCAGCTTCAGGAATTTGAAAAAAAAATATGCGGTTTCGTTTTTTATTCAAAGCGAGCTTCATTTCAGCAGCATAGTGGAATCAGAGCGATTGAGCTATTTTGGGCTCTGATTGAGAATTCTTTTTCGTCGATAGATCCGCGAGATTTGAGCCGGCTCCTTGCCGTACTTGCTGGCAGCGCGTTGGTTAGATGGATGGAAACTAGCCCCTATTCCGGAGAAAAGGAAGAACGTCGAGTGCAGACCACACTGTATAGGTGGCGACGACCAATAAAAAAAAGAAAAAGCCACGTTTTCTTTGGCATTCGTCTTTTGTGGTGTGCGGTCTGTACTCGACCCTTTCTCGTTTTCCGAAAAAGAGGGTAACTCTCGCAGGTCAAAGCCCCAACAGTGAAGAAGAAATGCCATGGAGGCGGGTCTTACCAGGTTAGGACTCTTAAGTTTCACACAAAAATCAGAAGCTTTGGCCTTGCTTTTTCACATAGTAATGAAGGAAACTCCTTCCATGGTTACTGTGCTTCATACACAATGGGGCCGCTTAGGAACGGTAAAGAATCCGGAACACAGGGAAAGTAAAAAAAAACATCCGGCATAGGAAGCAAAATAGTCTTTTTTCATGACTAGGGCACAGCTTCTTAATCAAGGCTCATTCGAAATCTCTATTTGAACTATGTTCCTACTCCTAGAATGGTCAAAACCTCACAAATCCTTAGAGTTTTTGGCTAAACTCATGTACCACAACAGTTTGACGAACTTTTAGGTGAGAGCCGTTTAAAGAATGAGTTTCACTCTAATTGAAATTCCATGACCTAATAGTTCAACGATAACTCGTCAATCTGGCGATCTGCTCTAGACTAATTCTCAAATAAGCGCTAGAGCAGCTCATTAGTTAGTGAGTGTGGCTCCGAAAAAGAAATTGCTAGAACTATCGCCTATTCGGGTTGTCCTGGAATGGAATCCGAGGGCCCCTATGAAGACATACCCTCATGTAATAGTTAGGACAGCCTACGAAAATTCGACAGAGGATTGCCCGATACGGAGTAATTCACTGAAGTAGTTATACCCCTATTAAGTCCGAACCGAACTGGCTTTCTTCCACGAATGGAACGAATTTTGGGCCCATCCAGTAAGGGGCATGTGGTGTGACAGTTCTTGCCGGCTACAGAAATTCCAATTTTTGCAAGGGGAGGGAATCCCCGGGGTGCGTGAACCATTTCGCTTAAGCTTTTACACCCACCCCGGAGCTTCCCTCCCTGAAAAAAGGATTTACTTCATGCAATATGAACTGACGCAATGGTGCGCAGGTTGGTATCGGACAAACATTGTTCTTCAAACTCAAAATTTTTTCAAGCGCGTTTCCTCAAATAGGTGGCACAAATGGTCCGCGTTGTGGTCAAAATTACAAGGTTCCAGCCTCAACTAAATCTGAAATAATTCATTAGCAGTAATATAGCGATTCAGGCGGCTTTAGGTGAACCTTTCGCTCAAAACAAGCAGTGTTCAACAGGCTCATCTATAAGTGTAAGCAGGTTGGCCTAGCAAAGAGAATTAAATGGCGTACCAACTACGCTAAGTGCCTGATGGCTCTGCTCCCATCTCATTACAATACCACAGGTGTCTATAGGTGAAGCTGCAGCTAAGGCCGGGTCAGACTTTGCGAATTTTTTGAGTCACAAACTCTGATCCGGCCTGAATATGTTTAACACGTTGACGACATCGCACGTTTTGCTTTTGCACCGCGTGGAACAAGGGCGCTTGCTGAGCGCGGCCGTCACACCTCACACCCGTAAATTTCGAACGATAACCTTGGGAAGCTTCAAAGGTACGAACCATTTCAGCAATATTCAATGCGTAGAAAGTAATCGAAGATATAGTAGCGAAATTCCGATCAAAAAACGTGAAATGGTAAAGAAAATTGGAATTCAAGTCCTTTTCTCTGTAGTGGATGCCAAAACTATTTTCGATGTGGATGTGTCAAGTGAAACATATATCTTTCTATCCCTTTAAGTTTGTATTTACTTTCACTACCTTTTCTCACTGACATGTTCATCAGAATAGGAAGAAAACGAGGGATGAACCGAGCTGCCAATTCCGCTGTGCTTAAAAAACTTCTGCTAAACTGGAGCATATTTGATCATACCGTGACCCATGTCGTTTACAGTTATGTTATGTTGTAATCCATAGAATAGAGGCAAGCAAATTGGGAAGAATCCCGCATCGCGCTAAAAGGATGACAGGTTGAGACGCTACCCCGCGGGCGAGGTGCGCAGAAATAGTGAGACGCTTTACCGCGTCTCAATGTCGTCAATGTGTTAAAGCAGATGAACGGGCACACCTCATGTTCGAGCCGTATCACGTCATACGGTAACAAGCCGCCGATTTCCGTGATCACACCGTCGTCGTCGATGGCGATGGGCACATTCTCTTCGAGGTTCCCGTTAATACAGCACGTATCGAGGCAAAATTGTTTTTCCACGATATGACGTCGTTGTCACATGAGATTATTTTGTGAACAGCAAGCGATTGAGGTTTTTCTTAGCAACTAGGGTGCAGACGAAATAGTCTCCATCAGATTAAAATCGAACGGGAGAAGGCCGAGTTGTTATCGATCAATGTTTACTTGAGAGTGAGATGAGATAAGAATGTGGAGAGCGCAAGTTTGCGGCCGTCGCATCGACTGAGGAAGATGTCAATGACCTTAGGCAATGGCATCGTACAATGGCACTGTAAATCAAATACGATTTTCGAAGTACAGACACGTTTTGCAGGTGACCTGCGATGGCGTCGAGGGGCCGTGTGGAGAGTTTTGGGAGACGAAAGCGCAGCAGTGTGAGCGAAGAGTCTGGATTTCGTAGCAGGAAATCTAAGCCTAATTTTACCACCACGTCAAGCAAAGGTAATTTATGAATGCTCGTCTTTGCAATCAAGCGTTGCTCATATGGTTTGAAACTGAGTAAACGGGAACTGGAAGAGTGCGAATGTTGACTCCATCCAGTCTGGATACCACTGACCAACAGTATGATGAGCAATCATTGAAAATGTCCGTTGATCGATTTCTATTTTTATTCACGAGCAGTGGGTAACAAGAAATTCAACAATTTCTGGTTATTTTACGACAGAATTGGCCCCCTGGAACTGCAGAAAATCAATCACCAATTTCTCTGAAACTTGCCTTTTATTGGGCAGTCGCTGCAACTGCTAGCGAAGGGAAAGTTGATTTTACAGTCGTTATGCGACCTGCACGGCTGTCGTGGTCTTTACTTCTATTTAACGATCAGTGGCATGCGAAGGTGATCGCAGCTGAAAGAGCAGAGAAACCCGAAATAGTGGCCACCAGGATGAGCCAATGTATTCCCTACTGGGGCTTCGTATCTAGCTTTTTTTTGAGACACGGTTGTATTAGATAATTGGCAGCATCCTGTTAAAGGGGTGACGAAGATTAAGCTAATGCTTTAGAATTTTGACGGGATCCATAAACTTTTGTGATTTTGTGAAAGTCTTGCTCTTAATTTTCGAAAACGAGATCTCATGAAATTTAGAAACGAATACTAACGAATAGCCCAGAATTCCGGTTTTGGCTGATGTGAAGTGTTTGAGAGTAGGGCTTTAATGTGAGGGAGAAGGCGAGGACATATTGGTCCTGCCTTCGATATTCGCGTTAGCTGAAATTTGACGATTCGTAGCTTACCCTGACTTATAGCTGGAACGTTATGCATGATTGTTGTAATGGATATTTGGGTTGTCCCATAACTTCCTGTCCGATTTTTGTACAAATTCAAATTTCTTCAAGTCAAATTAGTGTCATTGCGAAATATGTAGTATGTTGAAGAATGCATCAAGGCCTTTAGCAAGGTGGTTTTAGAAGTTGAAATCCGCAGGGGATAATTAAGTAGGAGTCGAAATTGATCAACGACCAAAACAACGATTATGCTTTACGACCATTTAAAGAAGAACCTTGCAAGGAGCGCAGTAGGCAAGACCAGCATTGTGTTTGCCCAGTCCCTTGCTACTGATCGGGCACTGCATATTGGCTCGATAGCATCAGCAAAGACGATACAAGCTGCAATGTTCGACCTCATCCGTACCTTTAGTCACTTCGATGGGAACCCCTTGCGCCGTGAGTTGGAAGCGCAGCCGGACGCTACTACCAGTTAAATAAAGACATCTAGGCCCAGGCGATGCACCAGCGCTCACCATCCGGGTGGAAAAGGTTGCAGCAGAAAAAGGTCTTAATGGAAACCGTATGCACCGACCGACCATGACCGAGAAGCACACCTGACCATCCTGGGG